GTGTACTGACTGTTTAATGAGAAACTATTTGTTCTGTAAACCTTCATCTAAAGTACAATTTAAAAAAATTTAAAAAAAAGAACACCGAATATTTACATTCCGTGTATAGTTCTAATTCAACTATACTGTTCCAACTAACTCAAACTAATTCTTTGAGACTGAGAATACATCAGTTAATATCTGTTCATCTGTTTCCCCCATCTGTAAAGAGATGGTGGAGGGAGGGAGGAATGTATTCCATTAGTCCACTCAGTGATACTCTAAAAATTAGATAAAGGAGCAGCAAAAGAAAAACTGTAAGTCTTGCCCAATTTCAATTCCTAAGCACTGTTTTGTTTTGTTTTTTTCCTAAAAATGACCAAAACTGCTACTATGGTGATACTAGAAATGAAATCTAATACTGTCATTTGTCACCCACATAAACGTCCTTTCTTATTAAAAAAAAGTCCAAAACAGTGCATGTCTCACATAACAGATCAGAAAAAATGATTAGCCAAAAGATCCCTCAGTACCAGAATGTGTCTTTTATCCAGTATTAATTAGAAAGTAAATCTAAGCTATATAGTCCACTGTATGGAAATAATCATAATGATCATCTGATTCATGTGACTTTAAGAAAAGCTTTTAGTTTTAAGGAAAACCCAGCTAAAATCAAAGAACTGTTAATTACCTGCCATTTTCCTCTGCTCTGCTTCTTTGTATAAAACACTGCTGCCTGGCTACCACTGCTACTAGCAGAAGAGCTCAAACAAAAGGCAACTAGACAAGAAAAATGAAAATAAACTAAAAGAGAGAAAGAGAGCGATGAATAAGATTTGTCCCTTCAAAAGAAGATAAATAACTAACGATGAGATAAAAGTAAATGATGCGATTTAGTAAAACCTAAATAACTGCATTAAAACTAGAACTGCTTCTTTCCTGTAAAGGAAAAACAAAATTAAATAAAATTAAGTAAAGTTTTCCCCCTTCTCTACTTAAATAACCCAGGCTATTCTTAAGCATTTTTTTACCCGACTATACTTATTTGCACATCGCCTACATTAAAACCAAAAAAAACAAACCCATTGCGATTGAGTCAATTCTGACTCTCAGCAACCCTACAGGACAGAGTAGTACTGCCCCATAGGGTTTGCTCTTGCTTAAAAAGCAAAGCATGTTTAGATTTTAATTATGGTTTCCCAGACCCTCAGTCAAATCACAGTAAATGCTAGATTCAAAAATAAAAGCATAATCAGTTTCCTTTAAACAGCATTTTGAAACACTGGGTCAAATTAAAGCTACTTAACAACTACACTATGTATCTTCAAGTTTATCTTAACAGCAAAATGGAAACATCACAAAATGTTCATCTACTCATTCATATGACATATACTGAACAACGAGTAAGTGTTAGGCATTGGACTATGAAGCTGGAAATACAAAAATGAGTAAGACACAACTGATCCCTACCATTAAGAAGGTCCCAGCTAAAAGGCTAAAGATAACGCAACAGCATAATAAGAACTAAGGATCTGTTGAAAGACAAATTTGCTGTGTAAACTTTCACCTAAAACACAACAAAATGTTCTAAAAATCTAATGATAAATGGAAGTAGAGGAGGCGAAGTCTACTCAGAACTAAGATTAGAGGACAGAAGGGAGTTTGGGAAGGTTTTCCAGAAGAGATAATGCCTAAATTAAATCTTAAGGTATTAGCAGAGGTTAAGCTCAAGTATTATTTTGATTGTGCCTGTGTGTGTATATGTGTGCGCGGG